AGCCCGCTTTGTGTAAGGTTTTTATTTTTATTTTAGCTTTAGGAAATCAAGCTCATAATTTGGAATTGGGAGTACTGAAAGGACTCCCACCAAAACCACGAGTGTGGCCAGAGTCATCTCTGGCAATGTGTATGTACCCATTTACAAACCCTTTTCCCTTTTACTCATATACTCAGGTGCGTAGCCAAGTTCTCAGTTCCACAAGGTCTTAAGTCTTAAGGAGGCTTAAGGAAGATTTGATATTGTATCCCTTTGCGAAGTCTTTAACAGTGTTATTGTTCTAATCACAGCCCTTGATCCCTTTGCTTTGCATTTGATCTGTCTTCCCCGGGTAGTCTCATTCATTCCATGGCTTCAGCTCCCACTGTACACTGATAATTCTCAAACCTTCTTTTCCACTCAGAGATACCTCTTCCCTGTGCTTCAATCTGTACAAATGAATCTTCCACGGGCCACTCAAATGTACCATGACAGACCTCATTCTCTCCACCCTCTGGCTCCCTGCCTCCACTCATCATTTTAGGAAGACCACCATCCATTCAGGCACCTCTGCTCACCATCCACATCCAGTTGGTAGCTGTGTTCATTGGTTCTTTCTCTGAAATAGATGTTGGACTCAGTCTCCTTCACAATCAATCTGAGATAAAAAATTCATCATCCTTCACCAAAAGGAAAATCCAAATTCTTAGCATCACGTGAAGGTTCTTCATAATCTGGCTAAATCTACTTTTCCTTTTAACCTTGGTTCTGCCATTTCCCATTTACAAATTGCCCCAGTTGCGGCCATATCAAATGTGTCCTGATTCCTGGAATGTGTCATGTTTGCTGACCCCTGTCATCCAAACTCATGGCGTGCTCTCCTTTCAGCATTTCCTTCCCTTTTTTGAATCTTGAAACACTCACAGAGTCTTAATGCTTACCTCTTCATATCATTCCTAATACTGGGCTTATGGTAAAATCTCATACTAATTTTTGTTGATCAAAGAAATCTCAAAGGGACAGACATTTACAATGTAATATCAAACATTACAGTAAGTATTACTGGAAATAGTAGACATTCAATAAATATCTGTTTAATTGAGTTAAATATATGGACAAGAACTCAGTCTCCCCAAAATCAGAAGGTACAGATGAGGAGTTGAAAACTTGTTCTGTAAAGAGCTAGATAGTAAATTTTTTAGGCTTTGCACCTTTTAAGTCTCTGTTCCAAGAACTAAACTTCCATTGTAGCATGAAAGGAGCCATGGACCAAAAGAAACCAAGTATGAGTGTGATCTGATAAAAATTTATTTATGGACCTTGAAATTTGAATTCCGTGATTCCTATGTGTCAAGAAATAATATTCTTTTGATTGTTTTCAACCATTTAAAACTGTTGAAACAATTAGCACAAGAACCATACAAAAACTCTCAGCCAGCTGGATTTAGCCAAGAGGCTGCATTTTTTCTGATCCGTGCTATAGCTCATCACTTGTTTCAGCTCCCTACTTGGTCAACACTTTTTGTGAGCCTAATTTGAAATTTTGCTATCTACAGTTTGCCTAGTACATTTATTATTTAACATAATTCATATCCATGTCATTGCCTTATTCTAGCAGTCATTTTAGCTACATGTCAACCAGAAAGTCCCTCAGGGCCCTGGTTTAGATATACCTCTGTTGCTAGTAGTATGTGAGCTATTGACCTCCAACACTTGTCAAGTGTGTATATTGAACAGGCAAAGATCTTGGCCCATTCTTTCTAATAATTTTAGAGCAAACACAGAGCCTCAGTATCATCCAGTGTTTAAGAACCATTTACTCCTTAAGCACATCCCATATTGTCACAATTAATTTTTCAGTAACTATCAACTTGCTTCCTGAGAATCTAAATTTTTTCTTGAATTGCCATCTTCTCATCTGTCAAAGCAATTGCTTCCCTGATCTAAAGCATTTAGTTTCTTTTTAAAGCAGAGCATCACTTCTAATCTTACTAACATTACTAAATTAATCTTACTAACCTTACCTCCTCCTCCTCCCCGATATGAAATCGTGAACACTCATAACCCTCTATGGTAACTTCCTTTCCCACATCCCCAATATTCCATACTTACTAAGATACATTATTATTCCAACTTAGTCCATTCAGGCTGCTATACAAAATACCATAGACTGGGTGGCTTATAAACAACAGAGGTTTATTTCCGACAGTTCTGGAGCCTGAGAAGTCCAAGTTCAAGTTACTGGCAGATTCAGGGTCTGATGAGGTTCTGCTTCCTGGTTCATAGACAGCCGTCTTCTTTCTGTGTCCTTACGTGGCAGAAGGAACTCTCTGGGGCCTCTTATAAGGGCACTGATCCCATCCATGAGGCCTCTACCCTCATGATCTAATCACCTCCCAAAGGTCTCACATCCAAACACTGTCATATTGGGAGTTAGGTTTCAATATATAAATTTGGGGAAGGACACAAACTTCCAATAGATAGCAAATACATATGATTATATTCAAATAAGGATGAAGACGAGAGGAAGGAAGAAAAGGAGGGAAAATAAGAGGATGAGGAGAATAAAGATGAGAAAAACAGTGAGAAGGAGTAGAGACTAAAAGAAAAAAAACAAATAAGAAGGTTGTATTATATAAGATAGATTATAAGAATCTATGAAACTCTTTCACAAATATTATCTCCCATGAACTGAGAAACTGGAAAAATTACTTTTAGAATGACCTAGAGAATTTAATCACTCAAAAAGAGAAAGGAGGCTCAAATCAGATTTTTTTACCCCTTTTTCATGAATCATGTTCTATTCAAAAGTCTGATAGAAGATATTTCAGGTTGACAGTTTTGCTTTCTCACGTTCCATCTGTGTTCAAACTCTGGGCATCCTGGGTCTTTTTATCTGGATAAAAATCAAATCCTAGTACAGCATCAGAATGTTCTAGCCTCTTGCAATGGCATTTAGATTCCTCTGCTGCTGTTTCAAAAGACATTCAAACTTATAAATATTAAGCTACATTTTGGGGCCCTAACCTTGAGGGAGGGCACATACCATTTAATATTGCCAAGGCAAGAGAAAAGGTGCAGGTGTAGGCAAAGGAAAGAAACAAGAAAACAAAAATGTCAAATCTGATTGATTAAAAACTAGGTAGGCAAATAAGCAAGGGCTGGTCCAGCATCACTGGAGAGTGAGGTCAGACAGGGCTGTTTTAAAATTATTTGGTATTTTCAGAAATTGATTACTTAGGGAGAGCATTAAGAAGTAGCTGTGCACATTCATTTAATGGGCCAGTGCCTCTTGTACGGGGCTGGAGTCGTCACATTCAATCTCATCTACTCCTTGTTAAGTTGTGCTTTCTTCTAGAGCCTGTTTATTTATTACAGACGCTATAAGCATAAACTACAAACTAGAATAATAAATAATTCCCTAAATGGGATTTTGCGAGCACCACCTCCCCACTCATCTTTCTATTCCCAACCCCCAATGTGATGGGCATCATTTTTTACAGGCCTGTGAATGTCTTTGGGCCTGAAGAACAAGTCCTTCGCTGTCCTAAACTGCATTTCAGTGAGTAGACAGAAACTCATGTAGAGCGAACTGAGGGACACTGAGATATCCTCCTGTTCCCTAAAAGTGTCCATCAGTTGTCCACTCTTTGAAGGGACATTCCACTGGTTCTTTGAGTTAGGAATACCCTTTGCAAATATAAACAATCTTGGGAGGAATGTCATTCATTATTGCAGTCATATATTTACAATTTGGTGTAACTTCATTTTGTTGACCACTCTCCTACCCTGACTGTCAGCTGGAAACAGGTCCCTAAGGGAAAGCTGCTGTAATGAAGAAAGAGAGGCATATTTTGGAGTACAGATCATGGACCAGTGGGTTATACTTGGGTGTGGCACTTCATGAAAATCTATAGTGATGCCAGAAGAGAGCAAAAAGTTTAGAGAAAGTGTGTGCGTGCACACACACACACACACACGCTTCACTCACAATCTAAGGTGGATATTCATCTTTAATTTCCAATCTGATAGCTGCCTAAAGATATCTCTATTTATCCAGATATCATTTCAAAACTCCCATTATGACATGGTGACAGTTCCCACTGGAAGGTGCTGGTTTATTTCTATACACATTTCCCTTGTAATTCATCAATGATAAGAACACACCATCCACAGCCCTCCCTTCATTAACTCTATGCAACTTTTAAAGCTTATCGCTAACTGAAATTCCATGAAGCTTTTTATCTATTTCTTTAACTAAAATTGTCTTACCCTCATTTCCCATTGATATTTTTAATGCTTAGTTCTATTTTTACAGTTGTATTCGCAGATGATTTTATTTCCCTCATACAGATTACAAACTCTTTTATTGCAAGAACTATATTACATTTCTTGTATCCTCAACATATGGCTGTATCCAGGACCCAATACCAAGTTTAAAATCAAGAAATCATTTATCTCCTAGTTTTTTATTTATTTACTTACTTTTTTTCCAAGGAAGATTAGCCCTGAGCTAACTACCGCCAGTCCTCCTCTTTTTGCTGAGGAAGACTGGCCCTGAGGTAACATCTGTGCCCATCTTCCTCTACTTTATATGTGGGACGCCTACCACAGCATGGAGTGCCAAGCGGTGCCATGTCCGCACCCGGGATCCGAACCTGTGAGCCCTGGGCCACTGAGAAGCGGAACGTGCGCACTTACCTGCTGCACCACCTGGCCAGTCCCCTTTATTTTTTTAAATAGCACTCCATGGTGGAAGTTGGGTGTGGTGCATGTACCAGACTCACTGCCGTAGTCCACACACACAGTATGGAGCCAACTATGCCTCCCAAGACTCTAGCTTTATGGATTTTACATATTTCTCCACAGTGAATCTTTCAGGTTATCTTTCTAAAAAGGTAAGAGAATTCCTTTAGGATACTTAATTCATAGGAGTAAAGATATGAAATGCATCAATGAATATAGTATCTAATGGTGAAAAATGCAGTACTTCCCAGGCTTGCATTTTTCAGCCATCCCACAATACAATTATTGTTGTCCAATTAGGCATTCTAAAAACCTAAAGTCCCCTTGTGTTTACCCTGCAACAACTGAAATCCAGTGTGCCTGACATCACAGTATTTATCCTCAGAAATAATTACTCCAATGCGAAGGCGGCACTGTAAGCTCATCCCAGGACCAAAGAGAGCAACGAGGGAGACCCTAAAGGCAGTATTTCATATTCAGATACAAATGGGGTTCACAATTAACACATCACCAATTTTAATAAACCTGATGAAAGGTAAGCAGATTTGATATGAAAGTCAAATATCCTTGAGATCCCCCCTTCTCTAAGGGTCCCTCTTTAAATTAAGACTTTGCCAGGTGATTAAGAAGAATGCCAGCGCTTCAAAGGGATGCAGAGCCTTGTTCTCTGCTGCTCCACAGGCGACCAGCTCTCTTTCCCTTAGGTCCAGATGGAGGCTTTGTTCTCCTGAAGTTGGTCAGGTGCTGTGCCTGTCCAAAAAAGGGAAACGAGCGAAGCTTTAGGAGCCTGCACCTGTTTAAAAAGCAATGCCTCTCCCTCAGCTCCAAAGCCCCAAACATCAAATGCCTCCCTTTGCCAGGCAGCTTGGCTATTCCCCAGGCGTTTTCAATCTAGCTGGGTAAAACAAAAATTGCATAATTTGTCATTATTTTCAAGGAATGAGATGTGCCTTCCACAGTCCCTTTCGAGTTAAATACAATGATGCTGAGCTTCCTGTGAATGCCAATGGCTTCTTTCTCAGAAAGAATAGAAATAAAGAATGGGAAAAGAAACACCCAATTGATTGCCTGTAATTTGCTCGGGTATTTGTTATTGATGTATTCTTTGCATGCATTTTAGGGATAGGTAGCAGAAAAATTATTTTCCCAGGTCTTCAATAAAGACAAGCCAAAGCCCCTGGGAAAAGCCACAACTGGAAGCCAGGACTTCAGAGTCAACTTCAACATTCAAAACAAACAAATCACATCAATTTAAGCAAGTCACAAGTCATATAATCATTCAATTTCCCAGTCTTTAAAATGCGGATTAAAATGATCTTCTCTAAATATATCCCATTTAATTATGAAGCTAAAATGAAAAAAAAAAAAATGATAAGAAAGTGCTTTAAAATGTTAAATATCCTCTGTAAATGTAAAGTAGTTTGAATGAGAAATAAGGGGTGGGTCAGGATCTTAGCCAGGAGTCCTATCACTCTTTCTAAGGTGAAAAGCTTCAAATGCAAGCAGAATGGGGACTGAGGAGCAGAGAAAATAGCTCAGAACAATCGTTGGAAAGCAAGGCCATCCTAAATCTCATCTATTAAGAGCAGAGAAAAACACCTAAAAACCTCCACCATATTTTTTTGTGTACAGTGTCTTTCTGCTGCCACTTGGTTACAACAATAGTGGAGAAAAGTAGGCCCATAAAGCAAGATTGATTGCTGGGAAGATGATCAATTGCTGCTGTGAAAGGGGAAAAAACTGATAAATGTTTTTTTTTTCCCCTCTCTTCACAACCTTTTGCTAAAGCTGTGCAAAATGTGTCATGCATAAAAAGTATGCAATTTTCATGTAATTAGAGGAACACAAGATGAAAATGAGTTCCATCAGAGCAATCAAGGATGGTAATGTGGTATGTATTTGTCAGTGCCTATTTGTCATGAAAGCAAAACCCAACAAGTTATATATTTTATTTTATTTTAACTCTGAAAATCATAAATGCCATTTTGCCGTGGCCAAATCTATAAATTTCAATAATCCTTTCCTTTTTTTTTCTTTTTTTGGAAAAGTGAAGTTTTGGAACTGCAGATTAGATCATTTTACTCTTTTAAAGAAGAGAATACTATCTTATGAAAAACACTGAGATTACGGGACAGATTTATTCCATGGAGGGTCAGATTTACAACAGGACGTGATAGGTTTACAGTTTGCTATACAAGAAACACACTATAATTTATTTTCTCTAAAAATACACTTGCATCTTACAGTAGCATGTGCTTCTGATGCCATCCCCATAGCCCTGAAACCAACTGTATTAAGTTTTTATATTCCTCTTGGGCAAGAGGACATAAATTTTTCTTCCTTCCTTTCTTACTTTTCTCCTTCCTCTCTTCCTTCTTCTCTCTCTCTCCCTCCCTCCCTTCTTTCCTTCCTTACATCCTTCTATCCTTCCTTCTTTCTTTTCCATTCATCCATTCATTTATTACATTATTTGAAACAGTTTATTGAGCACCAAAATTCTGCTAAATGCTACACTCCGAAGATACAAAAATAAAAAAGACATGATTCATGTTTTCAAGCTGATTTCACTTCGTGGGGACAAAGGCAAGAAAGCAATTAATACAGTGGGATAGTGTCATAATAGAGATAGATTCCAGAGTTTATAGGGAGAGTTGAGTATATTTTGATTGGTAAAGCTTATGGGAAGATTACTATTTAACTCAGTCCTGCCGTTAAGGAATAACTTCTGCCAGGTGTGGGAAAAGGCTGTCCAGGCAGAGGACCAAGTAAGGGCAAAAGCCATGAGCACACGGAAAGCTTGTCCTATTTGTGAAAGTGCAACTAGTTGATTAGTTCCATGGTGGAAAGCGTAAGGAGGGGATTAGAGAGGCCAATGAAGTGAATTGGAGAAGGGCCCAGCTAGGAAGTTTGATCTCTGTCCTCAGTCAATAGGAAGGCCTTTAAAGTTTGAAGCAGAAATATGGTGTAATCAAATCTGCATGTAGAAGGGACCCTCCAGCAGCAGCACGGAGAATGTACATGAGTGGGTGAGACCAGTTAGTAATCTATTACAGTAACCCAGCCGAGAGATAGTGATGGTGGAGCCAAGGTGGGCAATGACTGGGTTTGAGATACCTCCCAGAATAATTTACATGATTTACAAATGGATTATAAATAGGGATTAGGCAGAAACAGGAATTTAGGTATTTAACACAGGCAACTGGTGGATAGTGATACTTATTAGTGAATCAGGAAACATACGAAAAGCAGCAAACGTATCTTCAAAGATAATGAGCTACAATTTGGACCTGTTGAATTTGAGATAGCGGAGGAATGTTTGAGATCGATAAGCATTGTATACGCAATCTACATAATACGAATCCAGACACTTTTCCCTTCCTGAAATATTTTGAGCTTGTAAGGTTATCAGATCTAAGCCAAAAACATATTCATTCATTCATTCATATATTCATTCATTTCATTCAAAAATGAATATTGAGCACCTATGCTGTCTAGTTAAAGTAACAGTAAAGTATAACAGTCGTTCCTGAAATTAGACGTTTTTGGACTCAAACTTTACCTCTGCCATTTATGAACTCTTTGACACAGGGCATTTACAATAACTCCGTTAAGCTTCATTTTCCTTATCTGTGAAATGAAAGTAATTATAACCACTCCATAGGATTAATTATGAGATTTAAGGGAGATGAAGCACACAGAGTAGCTAGCACTGTTCCTGACATATTGTTATAAAATTAGCATTATTGAGATTCAAGTCAGTAATATGTATGTGAAGTTGACAAATATGAAAAGTATAAAAATACCTCCAGAAAACTTGAGCTATTAAATTACTATTTTTTTAACATGGTGGCAACTAATGCTAAAGAAGTGATAACTGAATCTAAAAACACTTGGAAAATAATAATTTGATAGCTGAATAAAGCAAATAATCTCCATCAAAAACTCACTACTGAGAAAATATTGGCTATATCATACAAATTGTGAGTACCTCAATGTGTAGTAATAATGATAATAAGTACAATATTAACTCATATTTCTCTAACACTTTCCCATTTACTGAGCAGTTAACCATATATTGGCCTCCAATTTTCTTTTCTTATAGTGTTGTTTTCTGGCTTTGGCATCAGAGTAACGCTGGACTTATAAAATGAGTTTGTAAATGTTCCATCTCCTTCTATTTTTTTAAAGAGTATGAGAAATATTGGTATTAATTCTTCTTTAAATGTTTGGTAGAGTTCACCTATAAAGCCATCTGGACATGGGCTTTTCTTTTTTGTGAGATTTTTTTATTACTGATTCAATCTCCTTACTGGTATTCAGTCTATTCAGATTTTCTATTTCTTTTGGATTTAATCTTTGTAGGTTGTATGTTTCTAGGAACTTAACCATTTCTACTGTGTTGTCCAATTTCTTGGCATATAATTGTTCATGGTAGCCTCTTAGAATCCTTTGTATTTCTGTTGTATCCACTGTAACGTCAACTCTCTTGCTTATTTGAGTTCCTGCTCTTCTTTTCTCGGTAAGTCTAGCAAATGTTTGCCTATTTTGTTTACCTTTTCAAAGAATCAGCTGTTAGTTTCATTAGTCTTTCCTACTCTTTTTCTGGTCTCTGTATTATTTGTTTCTGCTCTGATCTTTGCTGTTTCCTTCTACAGCTAACTTTGGACTTTGTTCTTTTTCTAGTTGTTTGAGATGCAAAGTTAGGTTGTTTAGTTGAAATCTTTCTTTTTCTTAATGAAAGCAATTATTGTTATAAACTTCCCTTTAGAACTGCTTTTGCTGCATCTCATAAGTTTTGGCACCTTGTATTTACAATTTCATTTGTCTCAAGATATTATTGATTTCTTCTTTGACTCATTGGTTGTTTAGGAGTGCATTGTTTAATCTCCACATATTTGTGAATTTTCCACTTTTCTTCTTATAATTGATTTCTAGTTTCCTACCATTGAGGTCAGAAAACATGCTTAATATGATTTCAATTTTCTTAAATTTATCGAGATTCACTTTGTACCCTAATATATGATCTATCCTGGAGAATATGATCTATGCTTTTCTTACAATGCTCATGGCAGTATTTTCAGTGAAATTTGTTTTATATTGGCATTCAAAATTGACCTCTAACTGCTTCCCAATTAGCATATAAGATTTAAAAAAAACAACAACATAATCCATGAGGCTCAGATGCTGTTTAAGAAATATATGTGTTGCTACTGACAGTACTGCTTGCCTATTGTAACATAATTAATTCTACTGTAGCCTCAATGATCATGTAAACTGAATAAAGGCATCATTTTCACCCACACACACTAAAATGCTTAGTTTCAAGATGCTCCATTATGATAGAATTTTGAGACCATTTGTTCTAGCTTATAGAAGTGAAAAAATGCAGCTTAATCAAAAAAAAAGAAAAGACAAAGGAAGAATTTGGGGCTTTTTACGAGGAATGAGCAAATGCCAAATTAAAAAAAAAATCAAGGTTTTAGTGTATAGGATGCAATTTCAAACAATATATATGTCATTGCCTTTCTTTTCTTTTTGCTGTTGAATCTGAAATTCTTTCTTGTTCACTTTAATCCACAGTATATAGAAGTCACAACATTATGATCATAACTAGAATCCTGGCTTTTCTCTGCAAAATAGGAAAGCATTATCAAATGGTGTCTGAATAGATTTATACAAAATAAAGTGGTGAGAACAGACAGACATGCTGCATTTGACTGCATTCTTTTGTCAAAGATCAGTTGACTATATTTATGTGGGTCTATTTCCAGACTCTCTATTCTGTTCGATTGATCTATTTGTCTTTGCTTTCAGCAATAACACGCTGTCTTGATTACTGTATCATTATAGTAAGTCTTGAAGTCAGATAACGTCAGTCCTCTAACTTTGTTCTTCTCCTTCAATAATGTGTTGGCTATTCTTCATATAAACTTTAGAAACAAATTGTCAAAGTTCACAAAGTAACTTTCTGGGAATTTGATAGGGATTGCATTGAATCTATTGATTAAGTTGGGAAAAACTGACATCTTGATAATATTGAGTCTTCCTATCCATGAACATGAAATATCTCTCCATTAATTCTTCTTTTATTTTGTTCATCAGAGTTTGTCATTTTCCTTACATAGATCTTGTCCATATTTTGTTAGGTTTACACCTTAGTATTTCAGTTTTGGAGATGCTAATGTAAATGGTATTGTGTATTTAATTTCACATTCCACGTGTTCATTGCTGGTATATAGGAAATAGATTAACTATTGTATATGAATTTTGTATCCTACAACTTTGTTATCATTGCTTATTTGTTCCAGAAGTTTATTTGTTGATCTTTTCAGATTTTCTACATAGATGGTCAGGTCGTCTGTGAACAAAGACAGTTTTATTTCTTCCTTCACAATCTGTATACTTTCTATTTCCTTTTCTTGTCTTATTGCATTAGCTAGTACTTTCAGTATGAAAAGAAGCAGTGAGAGGGGGAATTCTTACCTTGTTCCTGATCTTTGTGGAAAAGCTTTAAGTTTCTCATCATTTACTATAACATTAGCTGTAGATTTTTTAAGATATTCGTTACCAAGTTGAGGAATTTCTCCTTTATTCCTAGTTTACTGAAACTGACTTCATTCTTCTGCCTGCGTTGTAGATTCATAGTAGTAGAAAACAATGACTAGATTATTCTTAAAGCTAACACTCTTTGTATGAACTCAGAAACTCCCAGGGGTTTGAGACCTGTGACAATGGGCTCTTATTTCTAACTTCACAGCAAGTTAATGAGGCTCTCCAGTTCTGACCCCTTTGCTTAACTTTCATTGTCACAGAATAGTATCTTGATTGCTGGCCTCTTGCTTATTCTCCTATGCAAGACCCTCTTGCTCCTTAGAAGCCTATCTGCTCACATAGTTTATGGTCACTGGCTCTTCCTGTTTCTCCTAACTTTTCCTGAGTTACCTTGACTCCTTGCTCATTCCTGTCCACAATCTCTATTGACAGAAAATTCTGTAACTTTAGTTTATATACTCAGAGCCCCAATTTCTTGAAGCCCAACCTGTGCCTGGAATTCTCTTGCTGATGTGACTCCAAATCCACTATGAGAGAAATAGACTGCCTCTGAACTGTGTATCTTTCCACCTCTAACCTATAGAGAACAAATATCAATGCAACTGAAGTTTTACACACCGGAGGATGACTCACCAAAAGTAACCAGAAAGAACAAGGAATAGTCTCTGCATGCCTGTGTATTGTATGTGTGTGTGTGCACATATTAGTGTTTGAACTTGAATTTTCAGGATTAAAAGCACAGTGAATGTAGCAATCTTAATTTCTTTTTTCTTTTGAGGAAGATTAGCTTTGAGCTAACATCTGCCACCACCCTCCTCTTTTTGCTGAGGAAGACTGGCCATGAGCTAACATCCATGCCCATCTTCCTCCATTTTGTGTGGGACACCTGCCACAACATGGCTTGACAAGCTGTGTACAGGTCCACACCCATGATCTGAACCCCTGAACCCCAGGCCACCAAAGCAGAACGTGCAAACTTAACGGCTGTGCCACTGAGGTGGCCCCAGCAAACTTAATTTTTATGGTGAATTATTGGTGAATAATTTCTCTTGATGAGTCTTGGAAAATGATATCTTCTCAAAAAGAAAATGTAAGGGGTTCTGAAAAAATTGGAAATTAAGACAAAGAATGGTAGGTAAGATTTGGACTTCTGCCAGCAAGTCTTGACTAGGATAATCACATCTCTTTTGATGTAAATGACAATCAAATGTGTATCTTTTATTTCTTATTTAATGGTTAGATCAAACTGAGTGGAGTTAGGTTTGATTTGGAGAGAAGATCAAAAGAAGTAGTGTAAAGTGCAATGTGAATTTTGGAGGCTATATCTCATCCAGATATAGACAAAGTCATTAGGGAAGCTCTCATTAACCCAGAGTCAATATACTAGGCTCCAGTCTCTGGTACGTGCAAAGGTTTTAGGACCATGAAAAGCATATTTTTAAGGGAAATCTTCCAATATTGATTTAGCAGGGGGTTTTGCCCAAGACCCAGATGGAAGATGTCAAGAAAATAAACTTGTCCCCCACTTCCATCCTTACCCCCTATTGATAAACAAACCTATACCACTGGGTTTGTTTTTTCTAAAGTGGATAAGCATGTGCTCATCACCAACAAAACATTGCTGGTTTCACACTCCAGTGACTCTCGGGCCATCTGTCCAGGTATTAAGCATTTTGATTCTTCCCTCAGCCCACATAAACTGGTGATCAAGGACGATCTCTTGAAATCTCCAGCCACAGAGACTCCTGACTGAGGAAATGAAGAAAGGCTTAAGGCTCTTTGCAAGAGAATCTGAGAACCAGAAATGACATAAAGCAATAAGAACACTAAGGAGGTAGACTGAGCTAGAGGCAGAAAATCTGAGTTTTAGCAGAAGTGTGCTCCCCAAATATGTAACCAAGGACGTCTCTTAGCTTTAATACTGGTGAAAAGAGAGTGATTGAATACATGTAAACAGAGTTCCTGGTTTTACAGTGCACCGTGCTCGGTGTCACAGTAGACTTAAAGATAGGTACAAGTAGTCCCTCACCGTGGAGAGTTTTCAATAAAATTGAGGGTGTCAGAAAAGTACACAGGATGAGATTTAAGCCAAGTCATCCCAAAAAGTGAAACTGTGTGGAAGGGATATGAGAGAGAGGATGAGAAAACCTGATATTGTTGAGGAGGAGCTCAACTGCCAGTTGCACCTAATAAAGCAGCTCCACCATTCTCAGACTTTCTCCAGGACTTGATATATCACTTTCGTGTGTGTTCCATTCTCCTGCAGGCCATGACATAAGTAAAGAGGCTTTGGATTTTAATGGCAAACAATACTAACTCTCTCCCTTTCTTTCCTACTCGAGAGATCATATGAAAATTGCAAGTTAAGGAATCCACACCAACTGTAAAAAGTTAAGACAGCGTTTTGAATCTTTGAAAATTTTAGCTTAAGAAATAGTGTAAAACACTGAATAATCATGAAATACTACGACTAACATTTCTTATTTAAAAAGAGGGTAGAAGATATAATCAGCCAAATATTGAACATTGATTATCAAAAATATGTTCTAGGTTTCTGGATATAATCTGAAATGTAATTTTAAGTATTCATATAAAAATAGATTTATAATACAATAGAATAAGCAGTTTTTAATCTAACTGATATGATTATATATGGATATTTATTCTCTTTCCCATCTTCTTTATCCCCTCAATGACATTGTCAGCTAGACATTAGGGAGACAGAAAAGAAGCAAATTCTAGGCCATTGCTTGCAACTAGAGACACAGATAGTCGATATTACAACTTGAATGTATTGAGTTATAGTGAGGTGGTTAGACATATCTGAGATTCTCTCTACTTAATCCAACTCACCTGCCCCGACTTGGTCTCAGTGTATGGGAAGGAACTTGGAGTGAGGAAAAGACCATGAGTTTGCGAAGCAGGACAGATCTGAGTTAAAACATGCTTCATCCCATGTCATCTAGACAAGTTAACTGACTCTCTGAGTCTCGCTTTTTGATGAGAAGGGAATAGCACCTACCTTTTTGTGAATATTACACATTTTGTCTTGTATTTGTCTATTGGAGCTTTAGCCATGCTACTTCAATGAATCCTGACAATATTGTTTAGAAATTAAATGAGATGATGTATAAATATCAATATAGCAAACTTTCAATGCATTTCTCTTGCCTTCATTTTTCAGTCACCTGACATTAACCCATCAATGTGATATGTTCTAGATAGAGAGCTGTGGGGGTTTATATAGAGAAGATCTTCGGTCCAGGACTAGAAATAGTAACTTCACCTCATGATCGATGTATCTATATGACAATAGCAAATGTTTACATTCGCTTCTCCTTTACTTTGCTTACTGCACTTAAAATCCTCTTCAGCCATACCTTCTGTGATACACAGGCCTACAGCACTGTTCACAGATAAATAAATACGCAAATAAATAAATAAATAGATTCGCAGAGCCAGCTTGGAAGAACGTTTGATAATCTGAACCATTACGGAGGTGAAATTTCATTACACAGATGGTGACATCCCGATGTCTATCATCAAAACACAGCAGGTAGAAACTATCAGCCAGGCCCATTCCCTTCTATAAAATTACACTTATATTAATGTCACTCCAGATTTCATTATGCGGAAAATGATATTGCACCGGTCTCCAGCCCTAGGAGGACAGCGGGGGATGGGGGTGTAGGGGTGGTGAGGGAAGAATAAGGGAGCAGTGAGGGGAGGAGGGGAAAAGAAACTGTCTGTGTAGAGGCCATGGAAACAAATTCAGATGAGCGCTACCTAGGATTGGCAGATAGGCAAAAAAAGTATATAAATGTATATATAAATGTATATTTTAAAAATCGGCATAGATTCTGCTGCCAGTTCATGCTGCTTCTTGATTGACTCACCGCCAGACGTCCTCTGCAAGCCCCTGATGGAATGTCTAAAAGGCCCTCCTGTGGGAAGCAAGGAGATTTACAGTTAATTTTTATTAATGAAGGATGACAGGCATCTCCGTTTAGCCAACAGGATGTTACATCAGTCCAAGAAAACGCCCCTGTGTTTGGAGCAGGCATCCCCACCCCCACCCCATCTCTCTCTCTCTCTCTTTCTTTCACACACCACAGGCACACACACACACACACACACATTTAAGCATACACATGGGCACGAGGGAATTAATAGTGAAACAAATTAAGAATCAAAGGAGAACATCGACTTATTTATATACCCGTACTCTGCTATCAGTAGAAGGAAGGATGAGGATGACATGAGAGTCTCACAGGGTGAGCTGAAGGGGAATGATAGCAAATGCTACTCATTTCTGCTGCCATCTCGACATCCCTCCCTGCTTTCTACTCACTCCCACCAGAGAGAAATCACTGCCGTTTCAGATATGAATTAGGATGCCACATTACTTTTCCATCTGGCCCAACTACCTCCACTCGGGGCTCTTTAATTTACCCCCAACTCTGTGGTAAGATTTGTCCTTCCATGATACAGATCTATTGTGTTTAGTTGCTCATGAAAAACCTCCAGGACATCTAGATTTCCAGATAAGTGTAAACTCCCCACTATGACCCCTAGGACACCTTAGAGTAGAGGCCTTATCTCCAGAATTTTTTCTTTCAGCGTCCATTTGGTTTGCCCTCAAGTTTTTTGTTTTATTCCTGCTCACATAGGTTTCTCATTTTTCTAAGCTCTGCTCCAGCCTTGATAAGTTGGAGACTTTCTCCCCACGATGATATCCTTTCTTCTGCAAACGATCATTGATTGTTCATCAGTGTTGGAGATGTCTAAGACTTGTCTCCCCCGAAATAATACTTTTAGCGGATAAGTTCCATGTCTCATTTTAATCCCTTTATGCTGGTCCTTTGATATATGCCACCTTTCCCCCTCTAAGCCCTGAAGAGGTATGGTTTTCTGCATTCTCTGTCTTGCTTATATTGTCCGTTCCCTAGTAGTAGCTGTCATATGTATCTTGTTTGGAATTCTACTCGACCTTAAAGGACAAGTCATCTCTTATGTTCTCCATGAAAATTTCTCCACAGGTATTTTTGTGTCTACTCATTTCTCCTCTATTTGTATAATACTTATACAGAGTTCTATAGACTTTTGCATGTAGCTTTTATTGTTTTCTAAGAGGTGTATACTAGTCTGGTCTCATCAAATGGATTATAATCTCCATTGGTTATTGCATCTTTGAATTCCTCACAAGACTAATCTCAGAGTATCAGAGTGGGCAGTAAATATAGAATGAGGGATGGCTGAAACAGGGAATGGATTAAGCAATAATGCTGTTTATTAAGTAATCATTGGATGAGTTTTATTTTTTAATGAACATATTTATATATGCTGTATTAAATATATATAATTTCACATTTATATTGTTTTGCAGTTTCAGGAATCATAATATGTATTTTCAGTTCCCCTTTCTTGAGGCCATTTCATGCCTCAAGATTAAACAATTATAAAGTCATTCTCTTACCGTGTGGACTCCTCAGGTGTTCTTCCTGGGGTTCCTTCATCTTTTTTCACACTTCTTTTACAGGAAATTGGATGAATTAAATGACCAAAACTAGGACTTAACTTTTATAATATGGGCTGCCGAACTTTACAAAATACCCTCAGTATTTAAATGAATGCAATCTTCACTGAGGTTTTCAAACTTGAGGGTACCCACAAATCAATAACTGGGGTGCTTGTTGTCTCTCAGACAGAAAACTCATGAAGATATCAGTTGATTAAGCTGAAGGGAATCTCAGGAATCACAGTTGTAACACGCTGTGATTCTCTGCGGGGGCAGTGGGGAGCACATTTTGAGAAATATTACTTAAAGATCAATTGAACAGAAAAGTGTGAGTATGTAAGTGAAGTTATTAATCAGCAAAACTAAACACCAGCATGTGAATAATCTAGTTTCTTCTACCGCTGTTTATAACTCTTTTTTGCCTTCACTCAACAAGAAATTCTGAGATTCAAGGTATGTGCCATTCCATTCATATATCCGCACTCCCCATCAAAAACTGCAGTTACTATATTACCCTCTCTCTAATCAGTGTTTTCGCTCACTAAGTCATATAGCATCCATTTCATTAGCTAATTTGAACATTGGCAATACAATCTAAATGGCTACAGAATGGGTAAAATTGATGTCTTCAAATTGAACTCCTTAATCCAAATTAATTTTCAATTGGTGGGACATGCTTGCGTTTTTTTATTGTCATTTTCTTTGTCTAGCATTAGCATTTTTCTAGTCTGTAATTCTCATATCCTGCCTTCCATTATCCAATTTCTGATACAACTAGTAGACCAGTACAGAACCCACACTCACATACACACCTGACTTCTATTTGTTGTACTATATCCTAGTCTTAAATCTTACCAAACCTGTTATTCTTGACTAAATTCATAAATGTCTTCAAACTTCCCTTAAGGTAAGTATTATATCATCATCCCTGAATAAAAGATTCAATTGACACATGTATGCTTTATAGTAAAAAATTTTGATTTGGTGTAACAGTCAATTAATTCAATTAATTTGAATTCTACTCCTCAATCACAGGAAATCCAATTCAACTTAATTAAGATAAAATGTAAATATGATAAAATGCATGCAAGGTAAATGTACATTTTGGTGAATTTTGACAACTGTACACATATATTTAACTACCATCATAATTAATTTATGGAACATTTCCTTCAACCCTCAAATTTTCATGTGCACTTAAAAATTCACTCACTCCCCCTCTCTGAAGACCCTGTGCCAGGCAAATATAGACTTAATTGTGCTCAGTTTGCATTTTTTAGAAATTCATGTAAATGTAATCATATAGTTTATACATTTTTGTACCTGGCTTCTTTAACTCAGCGTATTTAAAGATACAACCATGTTGTTTCATGTATCAGTGGTTTGTTGTGTTATTGCTGAGTAGTGTTCCATTACGTGGATGTACAACATTTTGCTTACGTGGTCACCTGTTGATAGATATTTGGGTCTGATGTTTATTATAAATAAAACTCCTATGAACATTTGAGAACAAGTCTTTGTTTGAAGATGTTTTTATTTCTCTTAGTGAGATACCTAAAATTGAAATTGTTGAGTTATAATCTATGTATATATTTAACTTTATGGGAAATTGTCAAACAGTCTTTCTAAGTGGTTGTACCATCTTACATTTCCACTAACAGATATAAAAGTTCCATTTGCTCCACACACTGACCAAGGTATATAGCCATTCTTTTCAATTTTGGCAATTCTAGTCGTTACGTAGTGGTATCTCACCGTGGTTTTAATTTGTATTTCTCTGATGATCAAAGATGATGAGATCTTAATGTTTATTCGCTATTGAAACATCTTCAAAAGAAAACTGAAGTATCTATTCCCAACTTTTGCTCAATTTTTATGGGTTCTTTTGTCTTTTTATTTTGAAGTTGGAAGAATGTTACCAACACAATTCTTTAGCTTTTTCTTTTGCTTTAATAATTAACTTTTTCAAAGAACAGAAGTCTTTAATTTGGAGAAAGTTTGATTTATTCACTTTTTCTTTCATTGTTCATGGTTTTTGTATCCTAAGGAATCTTTGCCTATTACATCCATTTTAAGTTAAATTTTGCATGTCATGTGAGGTAGCAGTCAAGGTTTAGTTTCTTCCCTACAGATACCCAAATGTCCCAGCACCATTTGATCCATAAAGCTTTCATTTACCTATTGAATTACTCCATCAGTTGTGTCAAAAATCATTTAACCATATATGAGTTGGTCTACTTCTGGACATTCAGGTCTGATCTGTTGATTTATATGTCCATCTTTATATCAATCATATTGTTTTAATGGTTTGCTTAAATCAAGATCCAAACCAGGTCAATAATTGCATTAGTTTGCTTAAGTCTATTTCATAGGTCTTCTTTGTGTTACTGAACGTGCTACTCTATCCTGATATGTCCAGCAAACTAACCATAATAGACGGAGAGTTTGTTGGAATCAGGTTCAACTTTTTACACCAGAGTACTTATTAATTATTGCTATAAACTTTGATAATTAATATTCGAAAAAGGAAGTTGGCAATATAATTTTTTTTTAAATTTCCTAATTCTTTGTTTAATCCTGTACCTGCTAATTTGGGTTGAAGAGATTACGGTTATTCTGACTTTAGGAGTCAAGTGAATGAAAAGTTCTGGAAATCTCAAAGCAGGTATAAATAATTATCAATCCAACAAGTAGTATAAGAAACACATTCTAAAGGCAGAGACTGGTCAGTAGCATTGACCCTGGGTCTTAGAAAATTTAAATGACAGATCAGTGTGCCCAGTCTCTTCAGAAGAGGCCTCTTGGGTCAATATTGGAGAGCTGTTGGGTTGAATTACTCATCACTTTCCTTCCTTGAGCAACCATAAAGCAACCTTCTCAAATCAAGATTGGCCTTAACAAGATCCAAGATAGAATACTGAGGCATGCAAGAATAAAAGAACAGCTGAATATATGTCAAGGCTATTTCAATATCATCTAATTATCTCATTCAATATATACGGGACCAACTGCGTTATTTCCAAGATCCAGTGCAAAATTAAAAAGCAGCACTTCTTGCTTGTTCAATAATTATTAAGAACTTCAAGACTGCAAAAGTAGACCATTAAACCAAGTGTGGGTCCTTCTAAGGCTGAGGTCATATGTGACTGCATAGGTTGCATTTCTATGAAGCTGACCCTAAATTCATATGGCAACCTAAATTATCCCCATTTTAAAAATGAAGAAACTGCAGAATATGTAAATTATCTTCCATTAGGTTACAAAACTAAAGTCATGAAGCTGGAGAGGAAGGCTTCTGATTCTAAAGGATGTCTGACACTAAAACTTGTGTTCTAAACACCATACCACGTGATATAATAAAATAAGCTGAAGAAAGTGAGGAGGGCCTAGGGAGAAAGAAAGGGTGGGGAAATAGCTCTGAACCTTTTTGGTGCAGTTTGAAATTTTGAGAACCTTACTTTATTTGCCAATTGCAAAAGACCTTGGATGACTGGCTAACGAATTTGAGTATTATACTCTAATCTAGCATTCTTGATGTTTGAATCACCTACAGCAGAGTTAGTTAGGGTATGTGTTAAAAATCAGATTGTTGAGCCCCCGAATAGGCACACAGGACCAGAATCCAGGGGATTTGTTCTGGGACCATGTATACTTAACACACTTCCTGAGTGATAATCGTGTAGTTTACTCATCTTTTTCAAGTCTGGACTTGAAGTCTGCCTCGCCTACTATAGACAGCCAGAGTTCTACATCATAGATCCAAGCTCCTTCCAGATCATGTAAGGATCTCAGAGTGCAGAAAACGGTAAGGATCATGAAATTTTTATCTGTGGTTAATATTTCAAATGTATAGAAGAAAAGTAGACACTGAGGGAATAGCAGTGGTGGAAAAAGAAAAAGAGAAAGAAAACCAATAGGAGAAAACTCAAAATTTCCTGAGAACATATCTGGTCAAAGATCACCAATAGGATAACCAGGCTTTAGTAAAAATACTTAGATTAAAGTGAAGGGAACAAAACTCAACTGAAAGTGCTTTCAGCAGGGGCAAATTTTACTCCACTGAGTTTTGCAGAATTTCCTCTATAACAATGCTTCAAGCACTGAGTAATTCTTTCATCATTTTCTTCAAAACATATTCATTTTCTATTCAGTTCTCTCATAAAGGAAAATAAAAGTAGAGAAGGAAAACCGTAGCAAAATAAAGAAATAAAATCACAACAAAACCTTTTGCTTCATTGCTGCCGATCGTTTTGCTCCATCACGGAGCCTGCCTTTGGAGTTTCCTCCACTCACAGGGGAGCATGTTTGTCTGCCCAATGTGGAATCAAACACTCAGCCTCTCCTCCGAGAGGCTTTGTTGGCAGTCACACATGGATCCGCTCCAGGACTGGCAGATTTCAGGCCCCTGGAGAGATGCGAGATTGCAAAGGGCAGGGAAGATTGGCAAAAATATTGACTTTGATATTTCATCATTTCACATTTCCAAAGAGTAGAAATGCACTGACAACAGCATCTTTCTAATCAGATGCTACCAGAGGTTCCCAGCATAGCACACACACCAGAGACTGCAATACCAACAAAGCCCCAGACAGAATCAGTTATGTTAGAGCTAAGTCATCAGCAGCATTTCTGCTTCTCTCTCTGCTTGATTTCTCTACTCTTCTGTTTGAATAGCACTTTACAGCTTCCTATGATGGGACTTCTCCACTTCTGGCTATTTTCAGGTGCTATTTTGACCTCATTTGTCCCTTCAGGGTGTACATACCTTCCATGACTGTTAAGATCTAAATGGTGACAAGTGGCACTCCAACTTTCTTCTCCCACCACCTGTTCTGATATCAGAGATTTCACCTGAGAAGAAATAGTGACTATTATTCAGTGCTTGGGAGAATGTCTTTATCTGGAAATGGTATCATAGTGTTTGGGGTTGTATAATGTGGGGGAAGAGGGTTTTGAAGAGGGAGGAGAAAGGTATTTAAAGAGGTAGTTGGAGAAAACCAAAATCAAGCTTCCTGTGCCTCTTCTTAATTTTTATTTCTAATTTTGAGAGTTTGACTCACAAAATACAGTAGCTGATATTTTGAAAACTAAAGATCTTATTCTATTAGAAAGTTCTTTTGCCAGCAAGATATGGAAGAAAAACTTAGTTTTTGTCCAATTATTTTCTAACATGAATTTTCTGTCCTGCTTTGGTTAGGTGTTGTAAAAGTTTCCTTTTTTGTTTTTGGTGAGGAAGATTGGCCCTGAGCTAATATCTGTTACCAATCTTCCTCTTTTTGCTTGAAGAGGATTGTAGCTGAGCCAATATCCCTCCCAATCCTCTTCTATTTTGTATGTGGGATGCTGCTACAAGCGGTCAAATATGGCTTAATGAGCAGTGTGTAGGTCCACACCCAGGATCCGCGGGTGTATGCAAAGTAGAGTGTGCAAATTTAATCACTATGCCACCGGGCTGGCCCAAAAAGCTTCTTTGTTTAAATGTGGCTTAGTCCACCAATAATTTCTCTAACTACCTTTCTAAGATATGTGGCTATTATCCTATGCTCTCCTCAAGATCTAGACCCATTGTCCCCTCCCCTGTAGGACCATCCCCAATCCCCATGTGATGAGTTATGCAGCCCCTCGCTTTAAGGTTGCACATCCCACTATTGGGCACTTACTACACCATAGTAGATTCTGTGTTTGAGCAGCTTCCTTTCACATAAGAAGTTTGGATTGTGTTTATTTTATATTTTGACCTTCTGTAAAGGCTGTAGGCTTTGACTTGGCACATATTAAGTGTTCAATGTTTTGTTGCTGTTGCTGTTGTTTTTTCACTTGAAAAGATGACTCTTAGTAGGAATTGAAACAGCACATTTTGGTTGGCAATTTGGCAATTTGCTTTGCTCTCTTCTTTCCAAAGAGCATCCCCAGCTACCTATTCCTCATTCAGGGATTACTTCTAATTTCATTTCCTCCTGCCACGTCAAAGTCTCTCTTTCTTGGGATCTATTTTCTTGCCTGATCCTTACTGATATATGAGAATAGACATTTTTCTTAATTCTTTATATTATTATGAGGCTAAAATGAGATAACGTTTTGTTTAATGCATGACTGGCACACGGTAAGCCCTCGATATATATGCTACCTAATATGATGTACCGAATAAACATTCAACCATGATATTTATTATAAATATTGTTTGGAATATTATCTGATTTTAGAATCATTTTGAATTAGACTAAGTACAGCCTTAAAAAGCACTTTCTGGGTAACATCCCGTATCTTCCAATAATCTCAAAGAGACATTCCACCCAAAAAATCTCCTCTGGCCCTGAAACCATTCATTACCTTGTAGCTCTGTCGAACCTCCAGCTTGTCAGGGAAGTAGGATCAAGGACTTGGTTTTTGATGAACTCTTCTAATTCTGTTTCTGTGCACTATTCCCTCAGGAGTGGTATAAGTGGGCCTAAGTGTCCCCTTCTTGAGTCAATCTACAACAATTACAGCACCATTGGTTTCCAGTGTTCCTATTGCACACTGCCATTACCGTGATTAAAACGCCAAGGTTACATCACACACACACAGACACACCCTCCAGTACAATAATGAGGAAAGCAAGGCAAGGCCAGGCACAAAAGAATGTTAACAGCCTATTCAGGTACAAGACATTTTCTTCTGTAGAACTATTTAAAGTCATTCTTATCTGAGTTTCATAAAAACAAAACAAGAAAACAAAAGAAGAGGTCAAACCAATCAGAAAATATTTTATGAGTGAGATTTGTCAGGAACTATTATCTCCACCCTAGAAACTAGAAACTGGGATGCAGAGAGTTAGATTTCTAAGGCCATGACACCTGCCAGTGCCGGAGGTGGCATTGGGTACCGTACTCCTTATCCCATCTGTTTCACATCACTGTGAATCCAAGAAGAGCGCTAGCCCTGGACCAGGCCCCCAGCAGAATATGACAAAATGCACATGGGTTCCAATGGTCAGGGATGGTGATCTGATGGAATGGAACTTGGCAATCCTTTGAGAATTGGCACCATAGGAAGCTCACCAAATTGTGCATGGTCACTCTGTGTGTTCCTGTTACCATCCTTTCTTCTATAATTTCCCCCAAGTTTTTCTCAGACCTACAGGTTACCATCTGTTTTCATAGCATTTTAATTTTCCACTTATTAAAATCTGTTTTCCAAACCTACCATCTGGAGAGAATTTGGAAATGCCAATCCCAACAAAGTGATCCCCTCAGGTGAACTTGCATTTGAACAAGGAACAATAATGGTGGGATTTCAGCCATAACAACTGGCCATAGAGGAATGTCTTAGAATAAGGAAGTTATCTAGGATCTATCAAATGGTACCTCAACATGTGTTCTTCCTAACATGTGTAGTTCCTGTGTCAAGAGCAAATGGAGATCACATAACATATGTTTAAATATCTAAATTTTTATAAGTGAAGACAACAAACTATTAAGTGATATTTGATCTTCCTGCTTTTTAAAATACAGCTGCATAATAACCTGGAAGAATGCATTTGAATTTAGAATTCTTTTACTCTTCAGTCTTCTGGGCTAGAAACTTGACGGTGTGGGGAGAGCTAACCACCCTTCCTCTCCCTATCACTGGCTGTATCCAGTAAGCCAGTGTACAAATGTGTGGACACTCAAGACTGCACATCAATCTCCATCTACAGCTATTGTAAATAGTTTCCCTTTGGCTATCTCTTGGCGCTAGAGATGAGCACACTGACCACTTCCTCAGAGTAAGACTTGGGAAGAGGCCTACACAGTTCTTAGAAGTGAGCTTGGGGCTCTTTTGGCAGAGAATTCTAAGGTTCCAGATACCTGGAGCATGGTCTATAAGAGTAAAAAGAGCTCCAAGTGAGCACATGTGCACACTTTCATGTATGCCTCCCATTCTACAGAGGCACACGCATGAGGAAGGCCAGAAAGGTGCACTCCAAAGCCAGGGTCCTGGCTTAGGATTCCTCTTGCCTGAGACAATGTGACCCTGCTCATGAACACCTTCTAGATGAACCTATATAGAGAGCAAATTTCACTCAAGGTTCAGGAGAGAGAAGATATGTTGACTATTTTGAGAGTCTAAAAGACTAAGTTAGGCCAAACTTGAAACAAATATTGATGTGATGATAAGGCCTTTCCATCTACCAACCCTAAATCTCATCCGCATTTTAGAAAGTGAGACTGAAAAGGTTGGGGAAGAATTTGAGATTCTCTCAAAGACCCTATTGGGGGAATTTAGAAGTAACATTGACTGCTGAAGAAAAACATGTTAGCGGTCTTCAGGGAAGGTGGCACTTCTGCACCAGATGGGCCAATTGAATTTTTTTTTAGTGATGATCTTATGCTGTTGGCAAAACTTTTCAATATAATTTAGGAAAGAGGGAAAACAACAAAAAGACAACTGATGCTGGTCTTTAAGACTGGACAAAGGACATCAGAAATTAGAGTTGTTAGTGGTCCTAGGTTGAAAACATAAAATATTTGTGAAAATTTTATGAAAAGACTTGCCATCGAAACTGGTGGAATAAAACCAGGTTTCAAATCTGCATTGTATTGGGTCAACTGCAGGAAAGGAAAGGGTCGGTAAATTAAGTGAAACCAATGTCTTTTATTAGCTGTCTCACTGCTCTCACCCTTTACTACTTTAGCTGCCTGCTGATGGTTTTCCTGCTTCCACAGTTGCCTATCCATCCTCTCAAAAATCTTTCTAAAAGTGAATTTCAACATGTAATCTTTAAGCACTTTCAGCTACTCCTCATCAGTTGCATTTGAATTTCATATTCCTTAAAGCAACTCACAAAATGACCCTCAGTATCTGGCCTTTATCAAATCTTCTAGCTTCTTTTCCTGACTACTTACCCTAAATAATCCATGGAAAATTTCCTTCTACATGTCGTGATCTTTTAAGCCTTTGCATATTCCATTCCTTCTACCTGGATCACCCTTTCCTGCCAGACTTGCCCTTGATGAACTTCTATTTACCTATTAATTCTTATTTTAAAAAATTGCTTTCTCTTGAACATTTAACAACTCCCCAAGAGAGAGTCAGCTGCTATTTCTTCTTGTGTGTTTGTCCACACTTTGGGCCCATCCCCAGGAGGGCAGTGGACTTGCCATATGGGTCTGCTGGCTCATCCTCAGCATTTTCCTCTAAGTAAAGCCAGCTACCTGCCTTTAAATTTCAGAAAACTGCTGAAGTTACATATATCCCATGACAACAAAATAACATCTAGCAGAAGAAAACCTTGTCTGCGTCTTGTCTCTCTTTTTGAGTGACGAAATATTTTTTCCTCAGAAGCTCCTCAACAGAGCTACCTACGAGGGCATATGCTCACCCCTAAACCAATCACTGGTTAGTGTAATGGAATTACCATGATTAGTTAAAGAACTTGGAATAGCAGCATCTTCCCTGAAGGGCATGTAGCCGAACAAAAGTGGAATTCTTTCGCAAAAGTAAGATGAAAAATGAGTATTGGGATTGGCAATGAACGGTATTTGCTCCAGAAGTAAAGTGGCTTGATTCAAATGGTATTCATAAGTCTTGTAACATACCACACACAGGTGTATTGTCATTATAAAACATAAGATTTAGAAAACAGCAAAATGAAACAAAGACTTCCGGAGGATTCCTTACAGAGAAGATGGGCACTTCTTCCCACATGAACTTGCCTTCCAAGATGTGGTCTGAGCTCTGAAACATGATCTGGTATTTGCTACTGTTTCTATCCTATAGTAACACTGGAATCCTGAGACTGTGGTTTAGAGATGTTGGCTTGAATCTCTCGTGATTATTCTTAAAGGATAATCTCAAAATATTTTCTTTCTGCTCCTTTATAGTGATAAAAGCCAAAAGAAGAATAATGCAACCCAGAAAAAAGACAAGTGCTTCATTAACTTAGAAATTGAAACTGCATGTTAGCCATCTCACAATTCCTTAGTTTCATATAAATAGGTGGGGAAAAAAATGTTATGGTGCTATGCAGAAATATTAGAAGTGAATTTTGGTATCAGGTACTTTGGGACTTAAGGAATCCTCTGTTGAGGTTCTTAAATAATCCTGACCAATGATAAAAATTAACAGCAGTCTATCACACATTCTCAGGCAAGACCACCTAGGTCATGGATTCCTGATAATCACGGGTTTGTTTTATACCCTTGTACTAAGAGTTGCGACCAAGTGGAATTCTGGATTAAGGCAAAAAACTATAGAATATGCCTTGGTGAAAATAAGGAAAAAATACCAGCTAAGGGGTTTGATATGCAGTATAAATGAGGGATGTTGCTTTTATCTTAATCCAGTTCTTATTGCCGTTGTTCATATGTGTTCGCATGTGTTCTAATTATTCCCTACTTACTACACAAAAGATGTTGTATCAGTAGCTAAATTTACTATGTAGTCCATAGCTTATAGATGATCTGGTAACATCTGGGTGGGATTATGATGGAATTAGAGGAGAAATATACAACATATGGAGACTGTGAATTCCAAGACAAAGAGTATTTAGAGGAGTCTGTAATATTCCCTGTGGATAAAGCAAACAGAGACGTCTTTGAATTGCCTCCCTGCTGGAAGGTAATGATTGTGTTTATGTTTGTTCTTATGGGTCATGTTAGACAGGTGCGCCCTTGAAAATGTATATGAAGGAACATGGCAGTCAATGACATGAAACGTAGAGTATCTGCATTATCACTTTTGAGAAGAATTAGTGAGCTGGACACCTGGGAGAACAGAAGAGCAGATTCAAACCGGAGGTCTCTCAGGCAAATTAGCAGCTATGGTCAGCCAAACTATGCTCAGTTATCTCTTTCTTTGTGAACCTACCTTATCTACAAGCCAGGGCTTATGAAATAAGTACATAGATGTTCAAGCAGAAATGGCCACTGATTGAATCAGAATCAAATGCCCTTGTGATTCAAAGGTAACTAAGCCAGATTCTGAATGATGAAACATAGCATGCTCAGTCATAAGTGGCTCTACCCAATAGGGTTAATGGTAATTAAGTAGATCAATAAGAGTAGCTTCTTCTGTAATTTGGACTGTAAATATGGAGAACTTTGAATGGGCATAAACACAAGAAAAATGAGTACACAATGAGAAAAGTAAAAATCTTTTTTCCCACTTCTCTTCAGGGATGGGAATTGTGTTGTAACTAGGATCAAGAATGAATTGATAATCAGAAATTTCACATATGTGTCTTCCCTGGTAAATAAAAGCAAAGAGATACAGAACAGTGAATTTACATTTTGGTGGGGCCAGATCAAAAAAAGCTCTGCAAATTATCCCCTGAATAAAAATGGTAACATTAAAACAGCAATGTTAAATTGGGGATATCAAAATGCCCTGGATGATACGTCATTCTGTAGTTTGGCAAGTAACTGAATCTAGGACAAAACACAAAATATCGGTGAGATATTGACTCTACATTTAGAGGATACATATACTGATATATATCCGTCTGTCTGTATGTTTATGTACATATTTATACTTAC